ATGGATTTAAGATAAATGAATGTTATAAATGTGTGTACATTAAAAATATTTCAAATCACATAGTCATTGTTTGCTTATATGTGGATGATATGCTCATAATGAGTAATTACATTGCCAACATAAATGCTACTAAGCGTATGCTAACTAGCAAGTTTGATATGAAAGACTTGGGAGTTGCTGATTTAATTCTGGGAATTAAGATCCATAAGACTTCTCAAGGTCTGGCATTGTCACAATTTATATTAAGACAATACTTGAAAAATTCAAGCACTTGAGCTTTAAAGTTGCAAAGACTCCAATTGACGTGAATCTTGCATTAGCAAAGAACACGGGTAAAGCATATCACAATTGGACTATGCTCGTATGTTGAGTTGCTTAATGTACATCATGAATTGTACGCGAGCAGATATAGCTTGTGCAATAAGTAAATTGAGTCGATATACGAGCAATCCAGGTCAATCTCATTGGATGGCCATGAAACGAGTTTTTGGGGTATTTAATACATACCCAGTACTTTGCTTTGCACTACAGTAAATATCCTGCGGTCATTGAGGGATACTGTGATGCAAATTGGATCACCGGATCAACTGATTCCAAGTCCACGAGTGGATATGCATTCACTATTGGTGGAGGAGGGGTTTCTTGGAAGTCGTCCAAACAAACTTGTATTGCCCGCTCTACAATGAAGGCTGAGTTCATAGCCTTGGATAAAGCCAGTGAAGAAGCTGAATGGCTCCGAAATTTCTTGGAAGATATTCCATTTTGGCCCAAACCATTGGCACCAATATGCATATATTGTGATAGTCAAGCGGCAATTGGAAGGCTGGGAGCGTTATGTATAACGGTAAATCTCGTCATATACGACGAAGACATAAAACCGTTAGACAATTACTCTCTAGAGGAATTATCACGATTGACTATGTAAAGTCAAGTGATAATGTGCCGGATCCACTCACAAAAGGCCTAACTAGAGGGTAGTTGAGAAATCATCAAGGGGAATGGGACTGTGGCCGAGAACAAGTCATAGTGGCGGTAACTCTACCTAGAAGACTGGAGATCCCAAGATCTAGGTTCAAGGAGATCAAACAAAGTCATTAATGACGGTTCAACATTGCCAAATAAACTTTTGGTCCATTCTCGTGATGAGACAATGTTCAGTACCAAGGATAAAGCATTAAGGCTTTTTAATGATTTCTAAATTTGATACGGGGTATATCAAATAGTGTATCTACGGGATGACACGTTTAGGAATCACCTATGTAAGTGTGAAGTGTTAGCCGCTTCAAGGAGAACTTCGTAAGGCCAGTTCTCTACGCACTTATGAAACCAAACAGTGTTTATGGCTGAAATGAACACAACAATGAGAACCAAATACGGTTAAGGGTTGGTTGTGTGACTTGTGGTTGTCTAGGTATACACAAAAGTTCGACGGTTCAAAGATATCAAATCTACCGATTGATCGAGTATATCCGGCATAAGTTCACTACGGAAAGTTCAAAGGGAAACCTACTTATCCAGATGCAATTAATCCTTACTTGCGAATCACAGTTTTTCATGCATACTTCCGTGATATAGTCATTCCCCATTCATGTGGGGGATTGTTGGGTTTTTTTATGTATTTAATTAATATATTAAATACTTAAAAGATGGTGAATGGGAAATAGAGGGAAATAAAAATTTTGAGTGACATTTTAAGTTTCCCCCCTTGGTAAATGGACATTGTCCCATATTGGAAGAGGAAGAGATTTTTTATGGGTATATAAGTAATTGCTCTTCTTCTAGCTCTTAAAGAGTTGAGAAGAAGGCAAGCCTCGCGCCGGCGTCGGCGTCGGCGTCGCTAACTCGGCTCGGCTCGGCTCGGCTTCGGCTTCGGCTTCGGATTCGGATTCGGATTTGGATTTGGATTTGGATTTGGTCAAATGATCGATTGATTGATTAACTTTTTGGACCAAATTTATTTGTTAATAGTAAAATATTAACAGAAATGTTATTAAATATTTATTTTAATAACAGAATATTAATATTAAATCCAATCCGTTTTTCTATTTTGGTAACAAAAAATTAATTACCCTTCAATTTTCCCTCTTTATTTTCCCTCTTTATTGTTGAGTAAATGGACATTTATGTAATGGCATTTATGCTGTGGCCGTTTTGCATAAACAGCCATTCTGAAGAGTTGCACCTCTTCAGATTTCAGCCCAACTTTGGCTATAAATACAACACTATCCTGCTCAGAATTTCACTACGATTTTCTGAGTTTCTTCTCCTTCTTCTGCATACTTTTAGCATCAAACAAAGCAAAAGTAAGTGTGATTTGCTACCGAACTTTGTGTTCGCTGAAACACTGGGCTTTGAAGTACCACTACACCAGTGTGTAATTCGTTCTATCCTGGGAGGAAATAATCCATAACCTTGGGTACTAGGAGGGGATTAAATTCCTTAAGGAAACACTATAAATTCAGTGGGCTCGAATTGGTTTTCTATTATTTTTGTTGTTCATTTCTGTTTATGTTCATTTCTGTTTATGTTCATTTCTGTTTATATTCATTTATATTTCCAAAATTATTTTATAAATACAGTATACTAACAATCGCTTGCATTTTTTATTTGTGAAGCGCAGCTTTGATTTTGCAGAGTTTGTTCAATGGACAAAGAGGGAAAGAGTAGATATAGAGTTGAGAATGGCGTCCTGAGAAGTGGGACTGGGATATTTTGCTCCTATGCCTGTTAAGTCCTATTTTTAGTGTTTACACTAAATTATACTACTCCCTCCGTTCCAATTTATGTGAACCTGTATGACTGGACACGAAGTTTAAGAAAAGATGAAGACTTTTGGAATTTGTGGTCCTAAAAAATATAAAAAGGGGCCCAGAGTATTTGTATGGTTATAAAAGCTCTCATTAAGGGTAAAATTGTAAGATTAAGCTAAATTGTTTCCAAATTTAGAAAGGGGTCATTCTTTTTTGAACGAACCAAAAAGTAAATAGGTTCACATAAACTGGAACGGAGGGAGTATCAATTTATTTTATTATATAATTGAATAATATAATGAGGTAAGTATATATTCCCCGAGATAACAGCTTTACTCTTTCTATACCGTGCATCACACATTATAATACCCCTCGTAACAATCTTTATATGTTTTTCATTGCCTAAGAATCTCTGTGCTACAACTTTTATTTAACTATATTGGGACAACAACTTTACTATTCTTATATCATTCATAACACATTATGATTCACCTCATAATAATCTTTTATGTTTTTCATTGCGTAAGAATCTATGTATTACAACTTTTATTTAACTACATTGTGAACCAACAAACAACTCCTCAAATGGACGTGTATATATTATTATTATTACTATGTACCAGACGTACTTATTTTAACTGCAAGAAGTAATTATTAGACCGGAATAACATATATCTGTTTCTTTTTTATGTTCTTTTCTTAATCGTGAATCAATAATATGAATTCTAAAGCATTCTATATATATATATATATATATATATATATACACTCTTTAGAACAATATATAAGAGAATATGCACCAAATGATTTTTATTATAAAAAAAATTATTCAACGTTATATAAATAAATGTCGATTAACCAAGACTAAGTGCCAAAACTCCATCCAAAAAATGATATCTGCTTATATTTATTAGTTTAAATTAATATCTTAGCTTCATATTGCTACCATATACATAATTACTTCATATAGCTACTATTCAATTGTTACGGTAGTGTATACAGCAACAAAAAGCGCCTAAAATCAAGGCAGTCCAACTATACGCGCATGTATTCACATGTATTCGTGTTGCTGTATTCATGAATATAACAGTAAAAAGCGCCTAAAAATCAGGGCAGTCGAGCTGTAAGTGCATTTATTCACATGTATTCGTGTCATGTATTCATGAATACAGTAACGGCAATCACCTTAAAAATAGGTATGTCCAGCTATCTAAGAGAGAAAAAACATAAATAGCATATTTCACGCCTTATTTCATGCCTCAATGGTAGTATATACCATAAATACTTATTTTACTATAAAATATAAAAGGTAGCTACAGAAAATAATATTTCAAAATGATTTTGATTTATAATAAATTGGGTGTATACCTTTGCTATAAGAGGTAAAATTTCCTTAAAAATCAGAAGATCCGGGAAGACATACTTTCTGGTTGCTTTCAATTTTCGTTAAACATTTTGGTTCGATTTTAGTAGATCAAAATCTGTTTTTAACAGACGGCTTAAGTCTCTTTTTTGGGATAATATTTGCAGAATTTTTTTTAACTAAAAGGTCTCGTTATCAATTTAAAGCGTATCCACACGAAGAATATCAACACTACCCTGTCTACAGAGTCTATCATACAAGGGGATGAGTTTTGGAATGCTCTCTCCTTCTCTTAAGTTTTGAAGTGACCTTATACTTTATTGAATCAAAAACTGTTCAAAAGAAAAACCATTCCCCAGTAAAAAGGGGGAAGGAGCTGTTCAACCAATCACAAGTAAGCTCTGGCATATTAATTACTTGAAAAAGGGACTATATATAGAACAAAACCGCGAATCAGCTGAGCCCCCAGATTTGAAATTAAGGTTAATTTCCTGGATCTACTGACCGGTGGCCGGTGAATCACTGATCAAAGAGCAGTGTTTAACCTATCACCATATTGTGGAGCACCATAGTGCTGCTTACTAAAGAAAAGTACAGCTTGCTAATCACCTGAGGCTGGGACTAAAGAGTTTCGGGGCACGAAAACAGCTACCATATTCATCACAGATAAGTCTAACAGAAGTTGGCTGGCTACAAAATGGGTTTTTTAACCGTCTTATCATAAGTCAAAGCCGCCTATGAGGCTGAGTATGCAACAACTGAAAATTATATTTGACCCTGATATGAGCAAAGTTTGGAAGAAGGGATAAATTAAAGAGCTAATGAGGAGTTCAACACCATCCTCATCATCGCCATTTCCCAGGTTGATAGGAATAAAAGATTAGTTGAAAAGCCCATTATATAAGATGTTATAACCACCAAACTTCAACTGTCATAGCATTTTCAGATTAGAGCATATACAACAATAGCTGAAAAGAATAAAGCATTTAGGCAATTCATTTTCAGTATCCTTTAGATAATTCATTTTCAACCTCGGTTATGTAAATAACACAAAGCCTGTAACACAAGTTGTGAACATACTGTTGTCTGAAGCGTACAACTCCCTGCAGGATGCATAGACGAGTGGCAATTCTCTAGCAAACCATCAGCACACCTAAATCATAATTCATTTACCTATGGTTGGTGATGAGCCAGTTTTCTTTCTTTCCTTGAGAGAAGTCATACAAATAAACAATTAGGAATATCATATGCAATTTCCTAGCTCTGACTTATGCAAAGCTTGGACTGCATTTATTGTACTCCAAAAGGCTTGTCTTCCAATTTACCCCAACTTCCTTCCTTTACCAACTTTCTTGATGGCACAAGATGAATATATGTGTTCAAAATAAAGTCAATTTCCGTATCCTGGAAGCAAAAGGCACTAAACTACCTCTAAAAGTGTAGATTCTACCCCACTTCAGCAGGGGCAAAAAGTGTAGGTTACTTCCCCTAATGGTTAATGCCTCAACTTACACTCTCGTTACTTGTTGCCCATGTCCACCTTTTTTTATACGTGACCATCTTTTTTTTTCATTCTAAGGCTTTAATGAATCATCAGATTGACAGCTAACTATGGTCATCGACATTCCCACATTTCATCACTATTTCCGAAAAAAATCCAAACAACTTCACCACAATGCATCATCTACCATGTCACTCTATGAAACTTGTGTAGTATGGCTGTAGCAGCTTGAAAGAAAAAGGTAAAGATTGGAGTCAAGACTCACGTAGTAGTGCCTAGGTTGAGAATATCCAAGATCAATAAAAATTCAGATCTAAAATGGCTAACCGAGATACCAAAAAGTTTATTTTGGAACAGTTAATTATGCATCTTTCTGTGTTTGTTTCATGAAATATGCACCATCTATTTAGTGAATAAAGGTTTCAAATTTTAACAAGGAACAGTGAGATAGGAATGCACCAAAGGACAGCAACAACATCATAGAACATTTAACCCCCCAAAAAAAAAAAATCAGAAGATCCAATAGGAACGTCAGAAAAGCTTACCAGAAGGTCCATATCAGAAAAACTATAAAAAGGAAGGTAAGTGTAATCTCATCAATGTTTACCTCTTCATCGTCCTCGTCTCCATCGGATTCTTCATGTCACATAACCTAGAATGAAAGGTAAAGCATTACATTGTTAAAAAATTTCGGTGGATTGGGCCATAAGTCGTCCTTAATTATCTCTCCCACCTGCAGTCACGGGGAAACATATAAAATACCCGAAAGAAGCTGAGCTTTTGGATAGACTTAAATTTGTTGCACTATATAATGTTTTAACTTTTAAGTCTCTGATAAGAAATTCGGAAAAATAACAAAAGATGAAATAATCTCAGCAGTTGTTTACATATACTGCCACAATTATGAACTCATCAAACGATGAGCAATAAGAATGCAACAAAGTTTTTTTTTTTTTGATAAGGTGAAGATTTTATTAAAAACAGTATCAAGCTGATACTGTAAACGAATTTGGAGGAGGCTGGCTTCGAACCTGGGTCAATGCAACAAAGTAAATAGTGTCAAGCACTCGGATATATAAATTACATAATTATGAACGCATCAAACGGACGAGCAATAAGAATGCAACAACGTAAATAGTCTCAAGCAATCGTTTACATGAACTGCCATAATTATGAACTCATAAAACGATGAGCAACAAGAATTCAACAAAGTAAATAGTCTCAGGCAGTCGGAGACAGCAATTACCTCATCACTAAGCCCATCTGCAATATCTTTTAGCTGAGTTTCAGAAAACCAACTAAAAAGTCTGCATCCATCAGCATATGGTTATTGGTGATAAAATATATGCTAAGAAAATGATCAAAGATACTTTTCTCACCAGATCAGTAGAAGTTGGACTACATACTAACAACTAGGAAAATTAAACCAAGCAATCGTTTCTATATGTCTTTTGTTCTTCAATTTCTTACTATAATATACAGACTGCAAACAAAGACCCACTGAACCAAACAAAGGGAAAAAACAATAGCAAATGTGGTACTAGAGAAATTACACACTAGATCTAACAAGTGAAACGAATGAACACGTGTAATGTGGTACTAGAGAAATTACATACTAGATCTAACAAGTGAAACGAACCAACACGTGTAATGTGGTACTAGAGAGAATCATAGCTTTGTCTTATAATGACAAGTCTGGTTGGCGAGCTTCCTGTTAAGAACATCGATGTACAAATCGCAAGAAGTGGTAGTTTTCACGTGAATTTTGACCAGAACTCGGACCACCCCTGACAATTTCACGTAAGTAGTGAGGGGTAACATACCAGAACCGGAAAGGACGTCGGAATACAAACCGGAATCGGAAAGCAATCGATCGGCCATCACGGTAAGGGTAATATTCATCGGACGCGTTTCACGGGAACCTATCTCGCCGGCCGGAATAGGGGCATCTCCTATGACCTGGCCCTTATACTGCAGGATGGCGGAAGTAGAGTCGTACTTGAACCCGACCCGGTTGGGATTTGTGACAGAAAGGTCGGCCTGAAGGGTGACGTTGAGGTGAACCTTAAGCCTGACGATGTCGACGGAGAAATCCATATCCCGTAGAGAAACGGAGTTAACGGTGGTGACGGGCTTTTTGGCTTTAAAAACGGTGAGGCCCAAGATGAGGAAGAGAAGGCCCAGAAGGAGAAGGACGGCGAGGCAGATGAAGCAGCAATTTCTTCCTCTTCTCGATCCGTAATTTGGAAGCCGCGTCATTCCGGTGGATTTGTTGCCTTGTTTTGATTCCACGTCCATTTAGGGACCGAGAATGAGATTCAGATACCCATACCACGTTAGCTGACAAATAGATACTTATGTGTGTGCTTCAATTAAACGCCCAACTACTTTTTTGAGGATAACAGTAAACTGGATTTAATGCAGTATATCAGTTTGATCTCCTCAACAAACAAAGAATTTAGAAGGCTATGGCACAAACCTTCCGGAGCATTTACTGCACAGCCAAATTCAGCTGATGCCCTCGTCACTCCTTCTACCTCCTCAAAACCGCGTGACGTTTATGCTACCGAAGGGTTAAAAATGTATTGTAAAAGGTTTAAAAATAGCCTTGGTTCACATATTGAGCTAAAAATACTCATTCATTCACTTTTTTTTGTTCACTTATGTCCTTTGACCGTTAGGTTAATGTTGAATTAAAAATAATAATTATTTAAATTCCACGTCCCAACTTCTTATTAGTCGAAATTAAAACAGCTTACCTATTAGAAAGACCGTCCATATCTACCCACTCCAAACTCTAACCCGTCCCAAATAAAAAGTTCAACTAGAAAAAAGGCCCCCACTTCCATCTAACTCCAACTTATAAAAGGCCAACTTATAGGAAGAAGGCCAACAGATTTTAAAGCAAGAACATCGTGCTTCAGTTCATATAGTAGAGGCATCCTAAATCTTCTTTAGCTTTTCTACTACAACAACAGGATTTGCCTTAGCAATAGCATCCCGACCAGCATTCTTATAATCATATGGGTAGTCGTGCTTGTCAGAATAACGATGAGCCGCACAGAAAAGATTTCCACACTTGCAATTGAATCCCGTTAAACCTACACACTTGCGACAAGTAGTGCACCTAGTTGGGCCCTTTTTTGGCTTCACATCCAAACTCTGACCTGAGGATAAATTTGAAGATGCTTATGTAGAGAGAATCTTCGATTCCACAGATCCCGGTTGCACATGGTCGCACCAGTGACAATAGGCTCTTTGTCATTACTGCTAGAGTTTCCATTTACAATGTTTCGATTGATGTAGCTGCAAATTTAGTCTGTCTTGCTTCAGTATCATGTCCTTGTTACACTTAGAACACATATTCATGGTAGTTGCACTATCCACAGTTGTTGATGCAAAGGATGGGACCTTCTGGCGCTTGGCAGCCTGTCTCTTTGGAAGACTTCATTTTTTGTAGCAGTGTTTGGGAAAACGGGTAGATATGGATGGGTCTTTTTAATAGATTAGATGTTTTAATTTCTACCAATAAAAAATTGCCACGTAAAATTTAAATAATTATTATTTTTAATTCAGCATTAGCCTAACGGTCAAAGAGCATAAGTGAACTAAAAAGGTGGATGGATGGGTGTTTTTAACCCAATAGGTGGATGAAGGGTATTTTTAAACCTTTTTCAATAGTTTAGGGGCATTTTTAACCCTTTTCCGTTTATGCTATGTTGGCCAGACTCTCCAAAATGTTGCCGCACCCGTGTCGAATCCTCCAAAAATGTACTACTTTTGGAGGATCCGACACGTACCCGCCGATATTTTGGGAGAGTCCGAGCAACATAGCATTTAGGTAGTTTTGGACATAACTTTGATTAAAATTTAAAAAAAAATTGTTATAAAACAATAAAAGAAGAAAAGAATATTATAGTGAAAAGTAGAGAGAGGATTCTTAGCTAGCGTTTGGCCATAGATTTCCAAATTTGTTTGAAAAATCTGATTTGGGTGAAGTTTGGTTTGAAGATGAAAATATGTTTGGACATCAGTTTTCAAAACATATTTCCCAAATTTATTTTGGAAAAACATGAAACATGACTTATACCCACAAGTTCTAAAAACTATCACAAATACCCAACAGTACCATTATCAATAACATTCATTATATTATCGCTCATAGTCTTGAACATAAATAAATTTGGTAGAAAATTATCATTTTTATAATGAACTACACGATACACTATCAGATGACCGAGAAGACGAAGGAACATTATTATCAAATAATAAATGGTGGGCTTTTTATAAAATATAAGGTTTTGGAAAAATTTTAAAAATATAATAGTGATATTTTGGCCCAAAACCAGCCATTGAGCTGGTTTTGGGATTTGGGATTTTGCCAAAATGTAGGCAAAATCTAAGGCCAAATATGTGTTTGCCAAATAAAACCCAAATTTATTTTGGCAAAATCTATGGCCAAACGGGTCCTTATTGATTTGGGATGAATCACAATAGAATAGAACTTCTCTATTTATAGGGAAAAAGTGACTTAGTCGCCAACAAAGCATAAAATCTCTCTAAAATATAGACATTCACCTTAAATACAATTATATTTATAACACTTCCCCTTGAATGTCTATTCAACAGAAAATGGATCTCGTTAAAGCTTTAACTAAAATAAAACCCAATGAAAAAAATAGTACACATATCTAACAATACGCATTTTGGTTGCCTCGTTAAAAACCTTGCAAGGAAAACCTAATGGGACAAAACCTTGTAAGGGAGAGTACAACGCGTACTAACTCCCCCTGATGAGAGTATCGATTCACATCTTTAAGCCTTCGCATTCCAATCTGTCACGACCCAAACCGATGGGTTGCGACGGGCACCCGGTTCCTTACTCACCTGAGTACCAACATAACGTATCTTTTCGTATCATGCTATCATTGGTAAATGGGCCAAAAGGCCACAACTCGTAATGTATAACTATAAATGGGAAACACTGTATCAATGAACCGCCTTTCTTAAAACATGAATACATATGGGCCGTTAAGGCCTCTGACATACTGTAAAAAATGAACCTTTGTCTACAAAGTCTCTAATAGTATTTGACATCAAATGGGACAGGGTACTGGCCTACCCATATGTCTGTAGTAAAATTCTGACACGGTGACTCATAGACTCGGCTGCACTCCGAATGAAGTGGAGTCTTACCGATCCTTCACTGAATGCTAACCTCGTCTACTACGAGGGCTCGTCAAACTGATTGTCTATACCTGCAGGCACTAATTCAGCGTCCCCAACAAAAATGACGTCAGTATGAATAATGTACCGAGTATGTAAGGCACATAAATAAGTACATAAAAGACATGGAAGAAATATGGAGTAAATGACTCGACCTGCAAGTCTGGATACTGTAACTCATGAAATACTTACATGCATATGCATATGAATGTCATGTCGTGCATATGTACATATGTTCATAACTTCATCAAGCCTCTGAGGGCATCCCATCATATCATCTCGGCCACTGTGGGCAAAATCATTAACGTATACCAGCTGATTAGGTGGTGGTGCGTATATAACGCCATAACCTTTTCCCATATATATATATATATATATATATATATATATATAACATCATCTTGTCATGGGTCAATGTACATGTATAAATGAATGCAATGCACGAGAAATACGTCAATAAAATATTTCGGAATGTCATAAGACCATTATGCCTTTGATTAATGTCATAAAGTAAACCTTTTTTCAACTTACGTATTTTTCTGAGACCCATGCACAAAAGATGTAATAATAAGACACATGGGGATTCAAGAACATAGGCACCTCTAATATTTCTATGAATAGAGTCATTTATGGAAGTTGTGCATTTGCTTGTTTCTTTTGTGTCGTATAGATTGTGCCAAAAAGAAAAAAAGAATAGCCAGTAACATACTTGAACCGATTTTGTTGACAATCCCTCTAACACACGTCAATTGCGACAACACGTAACGGCGGATCGAAGTAGGGAAAAATCCGTATGATATTCTTGAGAAAGATTGCTCTGTACTCCCTTAGAATCACAAGCCCCACGTTGATTGTTGTCCCCTAGTAATTATCCAAGATTCTCACTTAATTACATTGTTAATCTTCCACCAAAAACCCACAGTTAACCAAATATCCACATAATTAAAGAATTATCTCAAATTACTTAAAATACTACTTACTTTTAACACACTTTATACACCTTACTATCATGGTCATGTGGTACCTTGTATGGTACTAGTCCATAAATATCGGGTATTATAGCACGGACTGTATTTTATCCCAAATTGTCAAACTTTGACCAAACTCATTTTCTTCGATTCACTTACCTTCTCACCTTCACGAATTTACTTATCACTTGTTTGAAATAGTACAATACTTATAATCTCAAAATAATCTCATTTTAGAGCTTATGTCGATTAACTTACGATAAAACTTCAACTTAAGAAAATGCGGGATGTAACATCTCATTTCCGAGCTTATATCAATTTACTTATGGCGTATTTCCACGTTCGAAAACAAGGGGTGTAATACAATCTTGGCACTAGCTTCTTGAAGGTTGACGTCGGCAGAAATTTGATGAATTAATCATCCATATTTAAATATCTAGTTTACTCGTCATGTAATTTCACCATATTTTTTATTTGTGTAGTACAAATCAGGCAATAAAGCGGGTAGTTTTCATATACATATTACCCCGCTACAGTTGTAGTAATATAAAGATATTAAATCTCCTGATTATTTATAGTCTCAATACAACCAATCGCTTTTGCGATTACTTTTGAAACTCAATAAGTTTCTTTGAGATTTACTACAACACAATGTCTTATTGATAATTAGTTTTATTCCTCCAAAATAGTAATAATTGGCTCTTCTAGAGCTCTTAATTAGTTTGGTACTACCACATATTCATCAACATCCATATGGTGAATATTTTTTTCAAAGAGAAAGTTGTACCATTATGGTCATGGTCAAATTATATGCAAGATTCGTTTCTTGCATTACTGTTATCCTTTAATAATCACATTACCAAAATATTTTGGCGTACAATAGGTACGTGACCAATGATCATTCATGCCGGCCATAATAATGACTTTATTTTTTTTATATCATCTCAAACCTCCTTCTAGAGGCGAGTGTGGTATATTAACTACCACTAGCACATTCATATTCTTCCAAGAATGAATATGTATTCATAAATCACATGTTGTCATAATCACATCATGAATGGACCATAATCATCAATATGTGCTTTATAGAATCTCATGTCAAATCGATGACACATATTATTTTCACAGAGTGACGGATTATTTTGAGAATCCTTATTGTTCTTATTGCCACAGTGATGATGATTATAATTTCATCTATTACCATGTCTATATCCATTGATACCTTTATGATAATAATTTTATCTTCTTTCAGACTTATCACATACTGCTACTACATTCTCTTAAGGAAACAAGAATAAAGCAAATTCAATGGGTCGGGTTTTCACTTTTTATGACCACAATCATACATAAATTTGACCATGGCAAGTCATAGAAATTTTACCA